ACAGATGATGATCCAGTGTTGGCCTAACCTTTAAGGCCTTAATCCGATTAAGGGTTAATAACCCCTTATTGTAAGGCTTAACGGTCGGCCTTCTGGGACGTTAAGGTCTTAAGGTTTCGGACCGACGGCGGGCCGACTTGCCGGCCATTGATGCGACCAGTGGGAAACTTGTTGCGCCCCAGGAAAGAAGATATTCCGATGCAGGAATGCAAATGGTGTTTCTTTTTGTCGGCGGCCACAAAGGAAGAGGCGCAAAGTGGTCATCAACACAACATCAACACGTCATGGGAATTGTGTATGTAGATGGTATGTAGGGCGGATTGGAGGGTCGAAACCGCCATAAACCACCGGTAGATAGGCCAGTGGGATGCTCGGAGCAGAATATGCAGAGTATATACCTTATGCCTTCCCCACAGATACAATCCATCGAATGCGATGCATTTTGCCGCCAAATGAACCGTAGGAAAATATTTCCCGATCTGGACAGTAAGGCCTTAACCTAGCCCTTAAGGTTAACCCTTAAGGCTTATCACAGATCGCGCGGGTGGGGGATCGAATCAGTTTGGCTGCTGCGGTTTGGATCTGCCGCAGCGCGGAATATATTCGCAAGACTACTTTCACGTGATGGCGTTTGATGAGAACACGTCATCCACACACACAGCCGCAAACAGTGTTTTCCGTCTTTCTTCCGAATCAGGGAATTCGGGGATCTTTGGTAAGGATATATATAGCCTTACAAAGCGCGCAACCGTCACAATGTTCACAATAATTGCGGACAATCTTACAATGCTTTAAATTACTTACAGCTCTTTGCAGAACTAATGACACTCCGCTAAAAATAGTTTCAAGAAAGCAATTCAACAGCCGGATTTCCCTTGCTTCTTTCTCGCCCATTTCTTGACGGATTCCCTTGAAAATAGATGCGTTAGACAGCGGAAAAGCGGGGTTTCCAAACGCTACCCTACTCGAAAGTTTATTACGTAATCTACTTGGCCCGAAATTTCCGGTTCCATGGTTTAAACCAGATGCCGCAACGGCGATATCTTCACCGTCTATCAGCCGTTCTGCATGAATCCGGATGATTCGGAAAGCTAGAGGAGAGGCAATCATGTGTGCCTATGCTCAAAATGAAACACACATGATCTTGGCCTGTAATAATGAAAATACATATCTGCAGTGAATATCCATTCCTGCCGGGTTGCGTTAATGTCAAAGCAAAAAGTATGGTGTCATTCGGATTCGCCGCAATCCTGGCTTTCAGAATCATTTGGATTCATCCGAATCGGTTGACAGACAATAAAGATATTGCTGTTACCGCATATGATTCAGACCACGCAGCCGGGTTTTTCGGGACACGGAAAAAATACCGGAAACCGTTGAGTCGGGTATGGTCTTGAAGCCCTGCGTCACCGCTTTCTAACGCTTCCATTTTCAGCAAGATCGGGCGACAGATGAGCTTAGAATCAATCCGGCAATCCAGGCAATCAAACTTGTTCTTATTCATCAAATTTTGATGAGTGTCATTAATTCTGCAAACAGCTGTAATGGTGAGCATGAACACTTTAACAATGTACACAAAGATTGTGGTCCTTGCAACGTGCGCAAGCCATCTAATGCATTACATTGCGTTGGACGGTGTTTATATGGTGTTACAAGGAGGCCCAATTTCTTGCCAGGAGCCCCGCCCTGTGGCTGAATCACTTCCAATTGCACTTAAAAGAAATGTAGGGGAAAACTGAATATATTGCAAGCACGCTAATCTAGTAGTACTAAACTGCCGAAAAAAACGAGATCCGCGTAAGGAGACGGAAGCGCGGAGATGGCGAGACGCGAGGGATGAGGCGGGGGGGATCCGGAGAAGCGGAGAAGTACAAAGAGCGATCTTGCGAGTTTGAGGATTGAGGAGCTCGAGATTGGCAGCAAGTTGAGGGGGCCATCGGAGGCTTGAAGAGGTTCACATGGAGAGGGTAGCAGCTTGAGTGGACATTTGAGGCTTGAGGAGGTCCGCTTGGAGATGCGTTCTTCACGATAGCTTTGAATCTTGAATATGGTGGCGCTCGAGGAAGCAGCGTCTGGCCCGTTTTCGTGGAGCGAGGAAGTTGTGGGAGGGACAGTGAATAGCGGGGCAGCGAGAGGGCTGCTGGAGAAAGTGGTGGGGGGAAGCAAAGAAGAACATGGACCGAGATCACTCCGTTGCGAGGTCATTTGATGGCCATCTGGCTGATCGATGATATCAGTGATTTCCCGCATGGCCGTGCATGGCCGTGTGTGCTTTCAAGTTTCGTCGGACTTAGGCTGAAAAGTTCGTGAGTCGGATTCCGGAACGACTCGACACCGTCGTACTGCTCAGTGCTCAACTGAAGTGTAATTTATTTATTGCCCCAGTCTTTGTACCCACTCGCCCGCGGGATCCATTGACAATCGCGTAGCATACAGACAGACGAAGAGCGCCCGAAGGATTCAAGGACACTTGAGATTATTGAGTCGGTAGAATGCGCGAAGGTTTCAAGGGGCGGAAAATTTAGTCGAGATTTGCTACAACTTACAATCAAAATACATTCGGGCTACATTATTCAATAATATTGTAGCTCTTTATGATTGTCTCCCAATTTATGGGGGCGTGTTGCAACCCGCCGCAAAGCTGATGGCAATCTTACAATGGTTTACATTGCGATCCAAAGTGGCGGCAAGATTGCGGATCAACTGTAAGCATCACAACATCAACTATGATTTTCCCGAATTCCCTGATGCACTCTTGCTTTGTTTTTGCTTGCCCCGTGCCTTCTCTGGTCCTCCCTCGATCGAAGAGATACGGCCCCTGCCTCATTACGGATGCGGACCGAGCGACTGGGCGGCCGCACCCAGATTGCACCCCGCAGTGACATCGACAATCCGGATTCCAGTTTCCACACCCTGCGGGAGTGAGGTCGGAGAGGAGAGGAGCAGCGGGCGCGCAGGCTGTGATCTGGCCGGGGCGAGAGTGTATAAGAGGCAGGAGAGCTAGACGCATGCAAGGTGAGTAAGGCTCCGCGGCGCCGATGCCCGCCGCGCACGCACCACCTTTAAGTTCACTGCGCCTCTTTGGTTGAGCTTTGCGATGGGACTTACGGCGCAACTACAGGCTAGCCAAGTATTCACCGAGGGTCCCAGAGGCGCACAGCCAAGCGAGATGAACTCGGTGTCGTTTCGTCGATTCCCGCCTTCCCTGAGCCTTGCCAAACCTGCGACGATACGTGCGTCCATAGATGCTAGGCACTCTCCGCATCTCTCTCCTTTTTTTGCGGTATCAATACAATGCTGCTGAAGATACATATTCCAGTCGCGGGCCCGCAAGCTCAAGGAAGTTCACATCACAGCGCAACATAGCCCCGGTACGCACTCTCCCTCTCGTGGATGGTGCATTGCCTGCCAGCGCCGACTGGTCCAGTGGATATCTGGTACTGCGTCGTGCGGTGCAGCAGTCTGTGCGCTTTGTGCGCGGGCGCCGTGAAGAGGCGACGAGATGCACTGAAAGGTACGAAGTGGTCCCCTCCGTCTGTTGCTTTTCAATTTTGATATCGACCTCGCGCAGGGGGAATTCCTGCATTGGCTCCACGTTGACGTGAATTGCCCTTCACCGAACCTACCTTCGACGCCGCTACAGCGCCCTTGCAATACAAAAGACTTGCTCCGGGATGGATTTGGTGTCCGTCTGTACGTGAATAGTTTCCGCTGTGAGTGACTATCTAGTGTTCAGTGCAATTTCAAACGCTTCAGGACATATAACTGGGCTCACAGGGTAGCGAGAAGGCCTGTGGCGGACGGTCCGCACCTGCACCAGCTAGGTTGGTGAGATGTCGCATTTCTGCGGGGTTGCTCGTTCGACTCGGGTTCAGGCCATGTGATCTCGATTCGGTGCTTTTTTACATAGGTCCTTCCTTGCCTCTGTTCGCTCAACCTCTATGTACCTGTACGTGGAGTACTTGGCACGGTATCTCCCTCGGTGCGCACTTCGAATCGATGCTGACCCATTTTTCATACATGTGGAGATGTTCGCACCCTATGACACACCGGGTCACTCGACTCGGTGCGTTGGTTGGATATTTAATAAACCTCGAACTTTGGATTCACACTAAGCCAAGTTTCATAGAAATAGGAACAAGGCCTGTAGCGGACGTTCCGCGCCTGCATCAGATGCAATGATTGAGGTGGGATCCGGAATGCTCGTTTGACTCGAGCACGGGCCATGCTTCCGCCGCCTTGGGTTATTTCTTTTTGTCTTCTTTACCTCGCGCGAGATGCTCATTAGACTGAAGATCAGCAGCCTCGAGGTGTCTTCGCGTGTCTGGGGATGTTTATTTTGTTTCTACTCGCTAATGCCATTGCTAGATGATATTGGTGCTTGCAATGAGGCGCCATTCGATTCCTGGGCTACACATGTCAAGCTGCAGTCCGATCCCGCGAATCCCCACCCCATGCCGGCGACGCGCTCGTGCTCACGACAACGTTAACACCGCAACTTGTGTAATTCTGCCGCGAATGCTGTTCCCAATACGGCCCGTAGTGGAGGGTTCACCCCTGCCATAAATTCAGCTTTACTGCGCTTTGTGCGGGGTTGCTCGTTCGACTCGAGCGCGGGCCATGCGTTCGATGGCACTATCCTTTTTTTCACTTGCCTCTCTGGTTTCCCGTTGTCCTCCCAGCCCATGGTACGCTCCCGAACACCTAGCGACGATTACGTTGGCATCAAGCGGTAGGTCGGAGTCTCAACGACAAGATCATTCGCTGAGGCTAGTCTGCCGTTCACCTTGACTAGGAAAATTCTTCGATCCATACCGAGCTCAAGTTACCGGTGCCGCAAGGACGGGTTGCCTTATGTCTCAGTGGGAATCCGACCTGCATTTCTGCTTGAACGCATATCAGCAAGCAGGAACGATGGAGGTACCTGTTATGCAACGCTCAGATTCGGGAAAAGCAAAAATACCCAGGACCACAGAAAAAGTCATCTGTGCGAAGTGGTACGCCTTCGATGGGATTCGAACCCATGTCTTTTCCGTACGCGGATTACAAACGCCTATGCCGCGGAAACAATCTATCTTGATCTACGAAAGCTTGTACGAATAGGTCTGTGGCCACAGCTTTCCAGGTAAATCAATGGGAAAGTTCTGCGCACATCCGAAAGCTTCCCGCGGGTAATTGACTTGTAAGATACCGACTTCACACTTGACACTAGATCCACTCCCCCGGGTCGGCGCCACGGTTCAACATGCAAAATGGAATACAAAATCTCTTGGATTCGAATGGCTTGACCAAAATCGAACCCCGCCTTCTTTACGCATCGAATGGATCGGGACCATGGCTCACGAAAAAAAAACCTTTGAAACGCAGGTGGAAATGCCTTGACGGGAATCGAAGCCCGCCCGATCGACAAGCTACTAGTACCAATGCCGCTTTGCTCGACCAAGGCGTGATAAAAAGGCTTGCGTGCCTGGTTGTCGATGTATGCGACCCAAATCGGGTGCGTTCATATTCATCACTCGTGATACGATACCAATGCTCCTACACACCAAAATTCATCCAACCGACGGAAGACGTAGCGGAACATGGCGCAGGGGGAAGGAAATAGGTACCTAGAAACATGTGACAGGCAGTCCAACACCTACCTTGCCACCATGCAGACCTGCAAGACGGCACCTCCTCCGGGAAAAAGAAGGTGATTGTCGACATTAGGCCCGCGGCGGGAGTCGAACCCACATCTCTTCCGTATACTCGGTAGCTTTCTCGTGTTCTCTGTGGATGCAGTGACCAGAGTCAGATCAGCATGTGATCGTGCTTGATGAGATTCGGAATCCGACACACACAGCCAAACAGTGAAACACTGCTTTTCTTTCTTTCCTCCTTCCTCTTTCCTCGAAAGCCGCGAATCTGCGTCGGCCCTCCTCAGCTCGGAGGTGAACAACGTCCCGACGAACGGTAACACCACTCGCAGCTCGCATTGCTAGCGCCTGCCGGTCTCAAGCCTGACTCGGAGATTTAGGAAAGGGAAAGGAAGTGCAAAAACAGAGGGGAAACGACGCTGCTCTGCGGTGAGCTCGGCTGCGTCTATGTTTGCCACCAAACACCCCATCTCCGTACGCGCCTCTCCTCCGCCCCTAGTTGCCTCCCCACTGGGCATCGCGACAACCGACTCTGCAACGCTGAATGCTGCGACGGTGCGGGGCTGTACGCACACACGGAGGTCCGGGGCTTGGGCGAAGCATATCGCCGTATGTCTCACACCCTTCGTCCAGTTCCGAACTCCAGATCGTAGGCCCCTCGCAGCTCAGCCACCCCCGCACATCTTCGCTGCGTCTTTGCTGCTCGGCGTACGCAGACTGGGACCAGATACGCCGGCGAGCTGAGCGCGCTCGCTCAAGGCCAGCGCTGCTATTCCGCGGCCAGTGCCATGCCTGGAATAGCAACGGCTTCCGCGTGAACCTCACGAACAGCCGTGGACTATATTTGCGACGATGAAGGACAGTTCAAGAAAGGGTGACGCGGGGAGTGGCGCGGGGATATACGCTCAAGGTACCATTCATTTTATCTGTCCTTGCTGATCTGCTTTGTCTGCATAGACTGGCCATGAGTTTACAGGCCATCTACGCTATGCCAACGGCTCATTCGGTCCGAGCCTGTAGTGGAAGTCTACTACTACGTACATTCGCTCTCCGGCTTTCGCTTTTGCTTTGCGAATCTCCGCCAGACTGTTTACTGCTTGCGTCTCTGTGGTCTCATTCCCTTATCTGCACTCGTCACGCTGAAGGCATTCCAGACACACTCGAACGACACGCTTTGTTCCATCCCTCGACTCCAGTCCCCAACATGCAGCAGCTGGTAATCACACTAGCTAGTGTTCTTGCGCGCTCTAGCTTTCTGACTTCCTGAATCCTGTCACCCACTCATTGCGCCCGCGGCCATCTCCAACGCCTGACTCCAACGACGCACTTCTGATCCAATGTATTCCTCCGCCGGCCAGTATACAAATACCACTGTGCTTTTAAACCACGCCGCTACTTCCGCTCGGGTTAGGGATCATAGCTTACACTTCGACGTACTCTTCAATTCCTCGCCAGATAAGGGCCTGCATTGTAAGTCTGCATCTTGATCTCTATCGGACTCTATTATCTCCCGACTCCATCCAGATCTATCAGGGATTCGGGGCCGATTCACCAAACTCTGTGCGTTCAGTGGTTGGTTTGGAACTCAAACAAGGCATTGCGAAGTTGGTCTTGCCCTGGTTACTTTCGCTCCGTACCAGACTGCGGGTGTTTTGAAACTAAATGGGTGGCTCGCGGGATTTGTTTAAGTATTCCGTGGCACGTACTTACTGGACGACGAAGGCGTTAGAGAGACAGGTGCGTAGGATCATTGGCATCACCATCTGGTATTGCTGATGGATTCGCAACATTTGGAAGTGATCACCGCGCGCTGAATCCAGGATGTGTGCAGGCACGCACCATGCGACGTTGTTGTCTGTCCTCGGAAAAAAAAGACTTGAACCGGGGCCGCTCTTCTTCCCGCGCTTTCCGGCCACCGCGCCTCGCTCCGGCCTTACAATTTATGTTCTCGTGGCTATGCGTTCGGCGGGACTCAAACCCGCATCCCGCCCTAAACACATCTGTGGCTCTAAACTTGCCCCGAACCCATAGGGCGAGACCTATATTGGTCGATGAAGGCGATGAGACGGAGTACAATTGTCCTCTGAGACACTGTTCTGAAAAGATTGCTCACGTTCGATTCAAGCGGTGCGGATTACACGCGCAATGAAGCATCCATATTCCAGGTATGATCCGTTTTATCGACACCAGTTGATGCCGTCTCGTACTAGGCGGACCAATATCCAAGTGGGTTCTCCTATACATACCAGTCAAGAGACGTTGGGAAACATCAGTGTCCGAACCTAAATAGGAAATGGCGTTCTCTGATCGTGAGATGGCAGCCTTCTTCTTCTTACGCCCACAATGGACCAAGACCCGGAAAAGCCCCCAGTGGACTACGACAAAGGTTTGCGCAGTGGCTCGGGAGCTTCAAGTCTGACTAGTACCAGATGATCCGACGCATGATGCGGCGGCTGCGCCTCTGTGGGCCGTCTACGTATCGGAGGCAGAGAAATACGACAGAAGTTTGGTGGAGAGTTGGAAAAGTGACATGGAGGGCATGCTAATATTTGTGCGTTGGGTCAACCTTTGCATCTTCCGTTCGGAGCTGAAGACTATTACAAGGCGGGGCTCTTCTCCGCCAGCTTGACTGCTTTCTTGATTGAAAGCTATAAGACACTCGTCCCCGATCCCGGGGATACCACAACGACTCTCCTTGCGCAAATCTCGCTACAACTCGCGGCTTCGGCGAATGGAACTACATACCATTTCCCGCCGCCAGCTTCCTTCACACCGCCGACGACCTCCCTCATCTGTAATGTCCTATGGTTCATCAGCCTTGGGCTCAGCTTGACCTGTGCACTCATCGCGACCCTCCTCGAACAGTGGGCTCGTGACTTCCTCCACCGCGCCGACATGCGCTCTGCCCCTGTGATCCGGGCACGCGTGTTTTCCTTTCTATACTACGGTCTCAAGCGCTTCCGGATGCACACAGTCGTAGAAATCATCCCGCTCCTGTTGCACGCATCCCTTCTGCTCTTCTTCCTTGGTCTCGTGGCATTCCTCATCCCAGTCAACATCGCCATCACCGTTGTTGTCGCCGTGATTCTACTCACAGTAATCGCAGCTTACGCCCTTCTCACGCTCCTCCCCCTACTATACCTCGACTGTCCGTATAGAACCCCGCTCTCCAGCGGGCTTTGGCGTCTCCTCGAAAACTTACGGACTGCGCTACCGTACTACCGTTCCCGGGCGACAAATTCAGAACACGGGGGCGAGAGCATGGTTGAAGCCGTGTTTCGCGAAGCAATGGAGGCCTCTGACAAACGGTCAACCCGCGACCGAAACTCCCTCTTGTGGACGCTGAAATCGCTTGCGGACGACAATGAATTGGAACCCTTCATTGAAGCCCTTCCAGATGTCATTTGGGCACCCCACCGGCCGGTCGAGTCAGAAATGTTGCTTGGCGGTCCCTCACCGGAATTCGACAGGCGCTACGTCTACGACGACAACATGCGCTGCCTGATGAATTATCCCAATATCGGGTTGCTTAATCGATTGGAGGCGTTCAGCAACAGTTGCTTCAGAGGCATCCTAAGCCCTGAAGTTCGGAAGCGTCGCCAAATAGCTTTATACAAAGCAGTATGGGCCCTCAGCTGTCTGTCAACTCCTGGCTCATCGGGGTTCCGAATACCAATTGTATGGGACGATTCACTTGCCCCTGAGGCTCGCCTGTACCAGCATTCCGCTGCTGCAATGCAGCAGTGGGCAAACCTCCGCGCAGCCCAGAGTTTATTGGAAGAAACATCCCGGCACCTTATCGCTTGCAAGCGGGCGATGATTGGGAAGCAGAACCCTGATACGGCCAGGGTTTCTGAAACCGTGCTCAGATTAGGATCTGAGTACAATCTACTTTGGTTCGACGCTCGTTTCAAACGCTTCCCGAAACCGATCGAGCTGTCGCATATTGAGGCCTGGATAGAAGAGCTCCGCGGCTTACCATTGGATACGTACTTGCATTACCTCAACCGGGTTGTGGAATCAGAGTCGCAACCGTATCGTTTCGACTTCCAGTAACCATATGAAGTTTGATTAAGCAATGGCTGTCTCAACAGAAAATCCCTCTTGAGCAATGCTTGATTAAACACTTCTATCATTACAAAGAGCTGTCCATCGGTACACTGTGGTGGTTGTATGACGATCAAAACAGTGTTTTGAACAGAACAGTGTTCTGTTCAATCCGTAATCGAAGGAAAATAACGGTGGTACTACACTGTGACCAACGGAGGTCACAGATCAAGTAGAACAGAATCGGTGTTCAGATTAATCCGACTCAGCTTCGAGGCAGACACCCGAACACAGATTAAGTAGAACAGAATCAATGTTCAGATTAATCCGACTCAGCTTCGAGGCACACACACGAACACAGAATAAGTAGAACAGAATCAATGTTCAGATTAATCCGACTCAGCTCTG